TTTTTTTTTTTTTTTTTTTTTTTTTGTTCTTTCTCTCTAGTTTCCACTTCTCGATGGTTGTATCTTTCGTATTTTTCTATAAATGGTGGTACAGAAAGATTTACGATTGCAAGAGAAAGGAATGTGAATTTGATAAACGTACACACAGTATTCGAATCGAATAACGAGTCGGTTAACGATTCGTGTAAGCTGAATTAATTGTAACGCAGGAAGTACATGTTTATCAAAGAAACACCGAAGCGGGAACGTCGCGTTTTGTTAATAAACACGTTGGGAAACAGCGTGTTTTGTTAATAAATACGTTATACGGTGGACGACGTGGATTTTTGTGCAAACTCAGCTCGATCCATCTTGGAAATTTAAGAGCGAAGGACGGGGGGAAATCCCAGGACTCGGAACCAGGGGCCTCTGTCGTTGCGACGATAGATTTTTCAGCGATCCTTCGGGCCGATTCTCTGACAAAGAAAAGAAATCGATGATTCGTTCCGTTGTACGCGCGATAAATTCCCCGCAGACGCGTTAATCGTGCAAGGAGGGCGACTTATTCGAAAGGGGAGAGATTGGTTAGCTGGAGAAGTCGAACGAAAAGCTTTTCGTGCTCCAGCTCTTGCTGGTTCTCCGTGGTTGAAAATTCTTATGAAATTGCTGAACACATGATTTCCCCTCGCTGGTTATTTACTGCGTCAGCACACACCGTCTGATGCAACACATTGAAATATCATATACAATTTTGCTTTCGCAATTTGAATATGCAATGAAACTCTGTTTATACGAATTTGCTTGTACGAAGGACAAATAATTTATATAATTGGAGTTTGTGTAACACGAGCCCGGTGGATGCTTCTCTCTGCCTGAAAATGATTTTTCGTTCATACAGCCGGCAGTTCGGATTCACATCATTGGATTCAATCGGTCAAATTTGAGATAGCTTTGACATAGCTTGCTTCCGTTGTATTTCGTTGGATTTGTAATCCACTAGTGTGGCTGGCAGCACATATTACGAGTCGAAGGGGGATCGAATTAGAAGGGGAAAAGGGGAGAAGAGACAGCTATGGAAATCGAAGAAGGACATAGTTACCAGTCGTGACTGAGCGCTCTCACACTCGCGAAGGGGGAAATTCGCAGAACTCTCGATATCGAACGGGGAGCCACTTCGTATTCAGTCAGAGGACTTCCTGAATATGATAATACTCGCTCGAGAACGGTAATATTCGGCGAGTCTGCCGGACAGGACAATGGTATTCGAAGTACAAGCGTGACTGGCATAGCACGGTCAGCCAACAGATCCATTTCCTCGAAGAAGCTTCGACTGGC